TTGATAGTTCTAGGGGCCACAACCTTGAAATTGGCTGGATAATGGAAGTTTTTTCCCATCTTTTTCTTTGCTGTAGGATTTTGACATTGCTGGTCAGTTTGACCCTATGATCCCTGATGCAGAGTGTTTGAAGATCATATGTGAAATCCTAAGTGGATTGCAGTTGGGAGACTTTCTCATTAAGGTGAGGCCAGGGCTGAGAACTGTGGGAGAAGTCTGGATTTGGCCTAATACTGTTTATGCAAGTCCCAAACTTGGGTGACTCCAACCCTTAAGCCTGCAACTCTAGGACTTTCCTAGTAAAGCTGTTGTATTTCCTGTATGTCTGTACTCTTCCTGTGAAATTTCCATCCTTTTTATATGTCAGGAAAGTAGGTACTGTCATTGTTTTGCGTGGAAGGGCATTGACAAGCACTTGGGTCACTGACATTGAGTTCTCAGGTAAATGACCGGCGGATTGTGGATGGGATGTTTGCTGCCTGTGGTGTTCCTGAAAGCAAGTTCCGTGCCATCTGCTCCTCCATAGATAAACTAGACAAGGTAACAAAGAAGACATGCTTCTGTAGACCCTATCTAGTTTCTGCCCTGCCCTCAAATCCATACCACTAGTGAAAAATAAGGATATTGTGGCTGGAAGTGGGCTATTTTGGGGAGGAAGGTAAGGAGGCATATGAAGGAAGATCTGAGTCGTGCTATACAGTGGGATTGTGACTGGATTTCTTTTTTTTTTTTTTTTGAGACGGCGTCTCGCTCTGTCGCCCAGGCTGGAGTGCAGTGGCCGGATCTCGGCTCACTGCAAGTTCCGCCTCCTGGGTTTACGCCATTCTCCTGCCTCAGCCTCCCGAGTAGCTGGGACTACAGGCGCCCGCCACCTCGGCCGGCTAGTTTTTTTGTATTTTTTTAGTAGAGACGGGGTTTCACCGTGTTAGCCAGGATGGTCTCAATCTCCTGACCTCCTGATTCTCCCATCTTGGCCTCCCAAAGTGCTGGGATTACAGGCTTGAGCCACCACGCCCGGCCGTGACTGGATTTCTTAAGCTGTCTCTGACTTTGCAGAGAATACAGTTAGCTACTTGTGATGTATATACTGAATGGAAGTGAGTTGTTCTTTTCCAGTTTGAGAAAGAAAGATCTTGGGGCTGGGCTAATGTTTGGGTGTTTATGCAGATGGCTTGGAAAGATGTGAGACATGAGATGGTGGCGAAGAAAGGCCTGGCTCCTGAGGTGGCTGATCGAATTGGGGATTATGTCCAATGTCATGGTAAGAACCAGGGTTTTCAGAGCTGTGATAGAACCAGGCTGAAGGTGACATGTGCTCAAATTCTACCTCTGAAACAACCCTTTTCTGTAGATATGATAAGCTCCAGGGCCTGTCCTGAATTTAATTTCTCTTTTACTTATTGTAAGGACTTTATGTCTTCAGATGGCAAAGCTAGAGCTAAAGGAGGAGGATCTTGTCATGTGAGACTGGGATCATCTTTTTTTTTTTTTTTTTTAAGAAAATGAGGAAGACTAGCTAGAGCACATCAGGGATAATTTTAAATGAAACACATCTGAATGAACAGCAGATACTTTATTTCTCTCCAGGTGGGGTATCCCTGGTAGAGCAAATGTTTCAGGATCCCAGACTATCCCAGAACAAGCAGGCCCTGGAGGGCCTGGAAGACCTGAAGCTGCTATTTGAATACCTGACTTTATTTGGAATTGCTGAGAAGGTAAGCTGAATTGCAGATGGACCTCCTGCTGAGCTCTAGGGCTCTCAGGGTCCTGAGTCTAGTTTGGGACTGACTGTAGCCTTGTTCCCACAGATCTCATTTGACCTCAGCCTGGCGCGGGGCCTAGACTACTATACAGGAGTGATCTATGAAGCAGTGCTGCTGCAGACCCCAACTCAGGCTGGGGAGGAGCCCCTGAATGTGGGCAGTGTGGCTGCTGGTGGGCGCTATGACGGGCTGGTGGGCATGTTTGACCCCAAGGGCCACAAGGTGCCATGTGTGGGACTCAGCATTGGGGTTGAACGCATCTTCTACATTGTGGAGCAGAGGATGAAGGTAGGTCCTAAGTAGGTGTGAGATGGGGCTGGAGGCCTAAAATCCCTCCTGTTTCTGGAGGTGTAGTTGGAGTGGTTTTCTGATGATTCTTTTTGTCTTGATTTTTGGAATTGCTGGTGGAAAGGAGGTTTTTATTAGTTTCACTTTCTTCACTCTTATTAGACCAAAGGTGAGAAGGTGCGGACTACAGAGACTCAAGTGTTTGTGGCCACACCACAGAAGAACTTTCTCCAAGAACGGTTGAAACTTATTACAGAGCTTTGGGATGCTGGAATCAAGGTATGGTGGAGCTGATATCTGAGCCATCTGGGTATGTGTGGAATTTAGGACCCAGGGCTATGTCTTCCTTATGTCTAGGGTGGAACTCAAGACCTTTTTAGTCTACTAGCTACTAGAGTGGCTTTTTAGGATGGGAGGACTAGCCATTTATCTCTGACTTGCTTGGATATCCATGTTCCTGAGGTTTGTTGCTGTGTTCGCTTCTAAATCCTTTACTCTGTCTTGATCCTTTTCAGGCAGAGATGCTATACAAGAACAACCCCAAACTATTAACCCAGCTGCACTATTGTGAGAGCACAGGCATTCCACTGGTGGTCATTATTGGTGAGCAAGAACTGAAAGAAGGGATCATCAAGATCCGTTCGGTGGCCAGCAGAGAGGAGGTGAGTGGCAGCAGCAGAAATAGAAGGGACGAATTGTTTCTGCCTTTCCCAGATTTTGTAAGAAATATGCATCTTCTGGCTGAGAAATTATCTTCATGGTTAATAGTGGTAGAGATGAACAAGCACCCACTCCAGATGACCACTGCAGCCTGTGAGTATTGGCTGTGTGGCCAGAAGAAAGACAAATGAAATCCGAATGGGTATTTTGAAACTAATCAACATAATAGACATAAATCAGGTGTTTGAATCCCTTTCGTCTTGAGGGTATACATTCTTCAGGTCAACCCCCACTACTCCCTTCTGGTTGTGTAAGTAATGGAGCAAATGCAGAGTAAAACAAATCTGGAAAAACAGTGGCTAAGGAGCTAGTATCACTTTCTAGTTTATCACATGAGGATTCTCTTATGTTTCAGGTGGCCATTAAACGGGAAAATCTTGTGGCTGAAATTCAGAAGCGACTGTCTGAGTCTTGATCCTTGCCTGATTCCCATCTGCTGCTCTTTGTAGAAAAGGTTTCCTCTAGAACTGAGTTCCTCTGGAATTGAGTGATGGACTTCACAGCAACTGGCCAGGATGGGTGACAAGTACCTTCTGCCTCCTCCATCCTTCCTGGGTACAGAACTGTAGAAGACCCTGAGGACTCCTTGGGTAGTGTGAGCAGCTATTCTGCATGGGTGCAGATGGCTGGTATGTGAAAGAGACATGCTGTAGCTGCAGAGGCAAATTTGAAGTGCCACCGAATGTTGTCAAGAGGTACTGAGATTGTTGCTGTGAGCAAGGCTCTGGGAGAGTCACCTCAGGCTGAGGATTCTGAACCATTGAGATCAGAAGCCAGATACTTAGCCTTCTACTGTAGCTACAGAACCAGATTCTGGTGAATTTGTCCACAACCAGCCATTGGCCTGTCTGGGGAGTTTTTGGAAGACAGCAAAGAGGGGCAATGGCTGCTTTCAGCTTTGTTTGAGGACAGATGCTATCCTAAGGGCATGGCAGTACCCATGTTGATTTGACATCTCTCTAGCCCATGCATTGCTAACAATAGAAGAGTGGGGCTGTATGCTTAATAATCTTGAACATTGAACTTAATAGATGACTTGACAAGGTGGAGATCTGATATTTTGAGATTTTGGAGACCATTTCCTGTGCCAGAATCACTGCTCTAACTATTCCATGCCATGCCATGGAGGCTGTTCTAGAAGTGGTTGGATAACATGTTAAATAAAATATTAAGTGTAGTAGTTTGGGTAATTTGTTATTGTTATCAAGGGCTGGGTTTGCATAGACTGTAGAAAATGCTTGAGTGTATACTGGAGAATTGTGTGAGGTAGGAGTAACCTCCCTGGGATGATGCTTCTGTATTCAGTGATGAGCAGCCAGTTTCTCCCTCTTTCCCCGTCTGCTCAAGAGGTAGTTTGTTTTTTTTTTTTAGATGGAGTCTTGCTCTGTCATCCAGGCTAGAGTGCAGTGGCGTGATCTCGGCTTACTGCAACCTGCGCCACCCAAGTTCAAGAGATTCTCCTTCCTCAGCCTCCCAAGTAGCCAGCTAATTTTTGTATTTTTAGCAGAGACAGGGTTTCACCATATTGGCCAGGCTGGTCTTGAGCTCCTGACCTCATAATCCACACCTCAGCCTCCCAAAGTGCTGGGATTACAAGCATGAGCCACCGCGCCTGGCCAAGAGGTGGTTTTATTGCTAAAATCAACATATAGTGAGCCGGTATGCCACAGTGCTTCACTCTAGAGTGGTGTTGATGACTGGCCCTTCCAAATCCAATTAATGCTGATTAAATTATGTTCTACTATAAAGTTCCCCAGGTGATGGAAAAACGAGTGAAGTAAAGTGTGATAGCATTGCTTCAAGGAAAAGAGCACAAGTGCAAAACATGCTTTTTATATGTGCGTCGGGAAGGGTACCTCTGTTGCAAACGCTTCAGTGTAGTTTAGGGTCATATCGCTAGTGCATGCAGGTGAATGAGAGGCATCTAGACCCCCTAATGGCGCTTCGGCCTTAAAAAAGGTTTACGAATTCTTGGCAGTGGACGCAAAGTTGTTAGACTAGATCAGAGACCACAGTTTTTCGAACCTCAGTTTCCTTGTTTGTAAAATAGTTGAACTAAATCTTGACCCTTCAATGCTTGTTTTGAAACCCAAGGCAAAAAACGCTTGCAGGCGCCCTTACTTCCGTGTTGCTTCATACTCCTCTTGCGCCTGCGCTGTCTCCTTGGAGCAGAGGCGGGGCCAACAAGCCTGTTTTAGAAGCCCTCCAGTCCTTAGCTCGTTTGGAACACAAGACTCCAAGCTTATTGGAGGGCCATCTTGCCTTACGGCTCCAAGCCGCCTTTTACGGCATTTTTCAGCTCGCCATTCACTTCGCTGTGAAGATGGCGTCGGGCAGCGGGGTAGGTGTTGTGTCTGAAGAGGAGGTTTTGCGGGGTGGGGAATGGTTTTTCAGACCTGAATAGCGACAAACTCCTGCACCCGGCCGGCTTTCCGATATCTCCTCGAGATCGCAGGGTCCAGGTTCAAGAACTCCCCAGTATAGGCCTTGGCAAAGGGTCAGTGGAATCATGGAGGTTTCTCGGGTTGGGGGTCCTGAGGCTACCCCAGCCTTCTCATGCAGTCCAAAGAGGCTTCGCTTTCAAAAGGTCCTGTAGCTGCCTGGACTGCGAGGGCGCGGTTCCCTGCTTCTTTAGGGGTCCGGACACGGCGACGGATCTTGACGCTTTTTCCCCTCCACAGACAAAAAACTTGGACTTTCGCCGAAAGTGGGACAAAGATGAATATGAGAAACTCGCCGAGAAGAGGCTCACGGAAGAGAGAGAAAAGAAAGATGGTGGGTGCTAACTACATCAAGGGCTAAGGGTATCACAGAGGCGATGCGATGATGGAGAGCGGGTGGGAGTTGAAGTGCGCTGCCTTCCCACGCGGTTAAGCTCTGGCAGAGTGTTGCTTTCCTCGGCCTAGGTTTCTACATTTACAAAATGAGAGCGAGGAGGTGGGCTGAAGTAAGTAGTTTTGAGATGCTCTTCAGCTCTATTTTACTCCGCTTCCTTGCCCACCCTTTGCTTGGCTCGTTTAATGCTTTCCTGAAGTACAGAGAAGATAACGGAATCCTTTGTAGTGACAGAGAAGTGTGGAGTATTTTGCTACTGTGCATTACCGCTGTCAGTGACTCCCCTCTTTCCCTTGAAATTTCTTAAGGGAGAGAACACTCCTGGCCCAATCAAGACCCTCCCATATAGTCTGAGAAAAGCCGGGGTACTTTCCAGGATCTGTGATTGTTTCAGCTAGTGCTTAGCAGTGCTGTTTCTCTGTGCCTTGGACGTCAGGGACTTGGTGCTTCTCTCCTGGTTAAGAGATTGCATAAAGAAATGTCTTGTTTTGTCATCTGTTTCAAACGTGTACATTATTCTTTCGCTTTACCTCCAGGCCACCTTGCATTCACTAACTCTTTCAGTTTTTATGTAACATGTAAAATAAATAGTGCTTGACATGTAACAGGCATTTCCTAAATGTTGGTCACCTTTTATAAATTTGCCCAGCTCTCAGAAGGTTCCTTTCTGTTATGCCTAGGGTATCTGCCTGAAAGCATTCTTGAATATCCTTGCTTCTGTTTTGAAAAAGTTGCTTCTAGTAACACTTCAGAAATTCTCCCCACAATTCAGTTAATCAATGAATATAAAACATACTGCTTTTGGATTGGCTGGCTTTGAAGTGGAGAAAAGCTGTAGAGAATTGGGGATTGCTTATGATTTTTTCCTGTGTTGAGATTCTCCCCAGCTGCTACTTTAAGTGTCTGTTGCGTCCTTTCTTTCAGGAATCATTTTGAAATGAGAGTAGACCTGAATTTTGGGTTTCATGCATTTTTTTTCCTTTCTGGTTGAGGAGCTATAATATTGAAGGGACTTCCTTCCCCATTATGTTTCAGGAAAACCAGTGCAGCCTGTCAAGCGAGAGCTTTTACGGCATAGGGACTACAAGGTGGACTTGGAATCCAAGCTTGGGAAGACAATTGTCATTACCAAGACAACCCCTCAATCTGAGATGGGAGGGTAAGTTGCTTATCATTTTTCTCTGCAGCCAAGAATGCATCTATTAAGCCACCGATTTTGGTTTTAGGAACTATTGAGGAAGGTCCTTGGCCCCAGGATTATGTTCTTCTTGCCTGCAATTCCATCTTTATATTTGTTTTTCTGTGTCTCCCAAGGTCTCAAGTTGACATGATAGTGTCTCTAGGAGTGGTCACTCAGTGGGCTTCTTCATATTATTAGCATTGGCTGGGCACGGTGGCTCATGCTTGTAATCCCAGCACTTTGGGAGTCCAAAGCAGGAGGATTGCTTAAGCCCAGGAATTCAAGACCAGCCTGGGCAATACAGTGAGACCCTGTCTCAATTAAAAAAACAAAACAGACAAAAATCATACTAGCACTGCAACTACTAGTAGTAGCACTACAACTACTACTTAATACATATTTTAAATTTTTTTTTTTGCTGGCTGGGTGCGGTGGCTCACCACGCCTGTAATCCCAGCACTTTGAGAGGTCGAGGCGGGCGGATCATGAGGTCAGGAGATTGAGACCATCCTGGCTAACAAGTGAAACCCCGTCTCTACTAAAAATACAAAAAATTAGTTGGGCTTGGTGGCGGGCGCCTGTAGTCCCAGCTACTCTGGAGGCTGAGGCAGGAGAATGGTGTGAACCCGGGAGGCGGAGCTTACAGTGAGCGGAGATCGCGCCACTGCACTCCAGCCTGAGCCACAGAGCGAAACTCTCTCAAAAAAAAAAAAAAAATTTTTTTTTATTGCCATTATACTTGTTATCAATTCTGATTTACTATTAATATTTTAAAAGGGATTATTTGATCTGTCAGAGTGAAGATGAAAGGAAGGTGCCACTGAGGAGATTCTAGGGGAGAAATTAGTAGAGCCCTAGAGTTGTTAAATGGGACAAGGGAAGCCGGTGGTGGTGAGGTCCAGACCAGCTGCCAAGGCTGTAGTTTGTTATGGATTGCCCGTGAATTTACACCTTCTTCCAAGACGTAAACCTGTAGGAAGAAGGTCCCACAACAGCCTTTGTCCACCTGCCCCCCCACGCCTTCTCTCCTCCAGGTAGGTTTTTCTAGCAGGAGAGCAACACAGATAACGCAAATGAGTTACACTTCTCTGAGCTCTGCTTAGTAAACACACTGTTGTCCATGTCCTGTCTGATTAGTAATCCTAGTGGTTATGTAGAATAACAAATTAACCCAAAGCTTAATCAGCAAATAAACTACACCCACTCAACAGTTTCTTTGGGTAAGGGAAAATGGGAGTGGGGCTTACCTAGTGGTTCTGGCCTCAGGTCTCTTCATGAAAGCTCAATCAAGGATTGCAAGGTAGGATCTGCATTTCATTTTGAAAATTCTTAAGTGGGCTGAGGGACTGCTTCCAAGCCTCCTCCTCACATGCTTTGTTGGAAGCCTAAGTCTTGCCCCCATAGACCTTTCCTATAGAACCTGCCCACAATAAGCAAACTGGCTCCCCGGAGCAAATAACCCA